ACGTTTATGTTCTTCAACTTGCCTTTTTCCTCAACATTATGTTTCTGAAATCTATGATATATTACATTTTTAAAATTTTATACAAATAAAAAGTGGATTCCCACTGATTGCCTGGCATAGCCTTTTTTCTAATAGGAAACAAAATAAATTTTCTTTTAACAAAACACAAGCTAAATTAAACTGAGGTATTTCAGACAAAATTATGAAGTGCATAGGAAACAAGCCAAAATGAGAAAAGAATTTTTATAAGATATGTCAATATCATATTTTAATTGTTTATGGCTTCCATTACAAATCTTACCTCAGGTTGTCCTATTCCAAGAAGAGAAATGGCAAGTCCATAGACTACCAAGACATAGTTAATCATGGCCAGGTTCAATTGCTGTCAATAAAAATACTTCAGTGAAAATGTGAACATAATTCTGTCCAATTTGTATCATACTAACCTTCTCGTCACAACAGAAAAAGAAATGCAATAAAATTGCACTAATCAATCCGATTGGGTTAAAGGCCAAATAGACAATATTTTGCAAAGGTAAGCACTTATATTGCTATCAAGTGCTTAAAACACAGAATTACTGTCTCAGAGTTTCTTGAAGCATAGTTCATACTAGAGTAAAATAATTTTTAATTAAAACCATACTCTTTTGCATTTAAGTAGGTACTAGTGACAGATCAAGACATTTGCTGTCTTACAACCTTGCCTAAGCTATGTATTTACATAGCAATTACAGGCACAGCTTAGGGATGTTGCAGGTTTGCTTCCAGACCACCACAGTAAAGTGAATACAGCAATCAAGTGAGTTACACAAATTTTTTGGCTTCCCAGTGCATATAAAAGTTACGTTTACACTATACTGTAGTCTATTAAGTGTGCAACAGCATTATGTCTAAAAAAACAATGCACATATCATAATTTTAAAACATCTTATTGCTAAAGAATGCTAATGATCATCTGAGGCTTTGGTGAGTCATAATCTTTTTGCTGGTGGTGGGTCTTGCCTGAATGTTTTGCTTTGTCTTTCCTAAGAATCCTGGATTAACCGAATCTTGCCTCAGTGCTGATGACTGATAACCAATCAGGGTGGTGGTTGCTGAAGGACTGGGAGGGTATGGCAATTTCTTAAAATAAGAGAACAATGAAGTTTGCCACATTGATTGATTCTTCCTTTCATGAAAGATTTCTCTGTAGCTGCGATGCTGTTTGATAGCATTTTACCCACAGAACTTCTTTCAAAACTGGCAATCATCTCAAAACCCTGCCATGCTTTATCAACTAAGTTTATGTAATATTCCAATTTTTTTTCAGCGTATTATGGGGGTACAGATGTTTAGGTTACGTATGTTGCCCTTGTCCCCCTATTCCAAATTTTTTGTTGTCACTTCAACAATGTTCAAAGCATTCTTCACCAGGAGGAGATTGCATCTCAAAAATCCACTTTCTTTGCTCATCTGTAAGCAGCAGCTCCTCATTTCTTCAAGTCTGATCGTTAGACTGCCATTCATTCAGTCCCATCGTCAGGCTCCACTTCTAATTCTCTTGCTATTTCCACCACATCTGCAGTTACTTCCTCCATGCCAATTTCAAACCCCTTAAAAAGTTATCATAAGGATTGGAATCAACTTTTTCCAAACTCTTGTTAATGTTGATATTTTGACCTCCTCCCATGAATCACAAATGTTCTTCATGGCATCTAGAATGGTGAATCCTTTCCATAAGGTTTTCAATTTACTTTGCCCCGATCCATCAGAGGACTGTGTGGCAGCTATAGCCTTATGAAATGTATTTCTTAAACAATGAGACCTGACAGTCAAAATTACTCCTTGATGCACAGGCTGCACAATGGATGTTGCATTAGCAGGCATGAAAACATTAATCTCCTTATACATCAAAGCTCTTGGGTGACCAGGTACAATGTCAATGAATATTTTGAAACGAATCTTTTTTTGGAGCAGTAGGTCTCAACAGTGGGCTTAAAATATTCCGTAAACCATGCCACAGACACATGTGCTGCCATCCATGCTTTGTTGTTCTATTTCTAGAGCACAGGCAGAGTAGATTTAGTGTAATTCTTCAAGGCCCTAGTATTGGCTTCAACATGAAGTCATCAGCTGCATCAGCTCCTAACAAAAGAGTCAGCCTGTCTTTTGAAGCTAGGCATCAACTTCCCCTCTCTAGCTAGGAAATAAATGGTATCTTCTTCCATCGGAAGGCTGTTTCGTGTACATCAGAAATGCACTGTTTAGTGTAGTCATATTTATCAATGATCTTAGCTAGATCTTCTGGATAACTTGCTGCTTTTATGTTATGAAGATGGCTTCTTTTCTTAAACCTCATGAACCAATCTGTTAGCTTCCAACTTTTCTTCTGCAGCTTCCTAACCTCGCTTAGCTTTCACAGAATTGAAGAGAGTTAGAGCTTTGTTCTGGATTAGGTTTTGGCTTAAGGGAACGGTGTGGCTGGTTTGATCTTCTATCTAGACCACCAAAACATTCCCCGTATCCCAGCAACAATGCTCTCTTGTCATTTGTGTGTTCACTGGAGTAGTGCTTACAATTTCCTTCCAAAACTTTTTTTTGTATTCACAACTTGACTAACTGTATGGCACAAGAGCCTAGCTTTTGGCCTCTCTCAGCTTTCGCCATGCCTTCCTCCCTAAGCTTAATCATTTCTAGCTTTTGATTTAAAGTGAGAGACGTTCAACTCTTCCTTTACACTTCAACACTTAGAGGCCACTCTAAGGTCATGAACTGGCCTAATTTCAATACTGTTGCATCTCTGGGAATAGAGAGGCCCAAGGAGAGGGTGACAGTCAGGGGCAGGGCAGGGGGAAGGGGAAGGCCAGTCAGTGGAGCACACACCACATACAATACTAAGTTTGCCATCATATATGGGTACAGGTTGTGGCATACCAAAACAATTATAATTGTAACATCAAAGATCATTGATTACAGATCACCATAACAGACATGGTGATAATAATAATGAAAAAGTTTTAAATGTTGTGAGAATTACCAAAACATGACACAGAGCCACAAAGCAAGCACATGCTTTTGCAAAAATGGCACCAACAGACTTGCTTGACACAGGGTTGCTACAAATCTTCCACTTGTAAAAAAACACAGTATCTGTGAAGCACAATAAAATCAGGTATACCTATACTTTCTGAATGAAAAGATGTGGCTAAAGTGAGTTCAAATTCTTGATTTCGTACTTTGAAGAAGAGAAAAGGCCAGGAATTCTAATGAACCCAAACTATAGTCAGAGAGTATAAACACAGATCATATATTGAGTGTTAACCATTAAAATCTGAATTTGAGCACTAGGTGCTTCCCACAACCTGGAGTAGATTCAGCCAATCTCAGCAAGCTCTAACACATAGTAATACAATGAGTTAAAGCCTCGATTCTCTCCTACATTCATCTAAGGTGCATTACTACTGAGTTATGACACGCAATTTTACCTTTATTTTTTGAGGATCTAAACCATTCAGCAACTCTGTAAAGGCCTGTGCAGCACTGCGGCAGCGCTGCTCCAACAAGGCTGTGTAGCCATCTTGAATTAAGCTTCTCAGCATTTTCATTATATTAGCAAAATCCTGCAAAAAAGAAATTCTATTTCAGTAATCCAAAGCTATACGTTTTTAGTTTAAAATTTAAGATGCCAAGTTCATCAGTAATATTTTATAACTAGTAATAAAATATTTAAATAAATATTCAAACTACTCTTTATACATTATATATTCTTTTTTCAGCATTTAAAAGTGAAAATTAAAAGGTACCGTTTGATCATCTTAATTCCAACACCTCTGCCATTGCCCATGACAAGGGTGATTCATTTTACAGTACATGGTGCTGAGCCTTGCTTGCTTTCCAGACTGAACAGCATTTTGAAGTTTTAACAACATGTACAGAAAACATCAGCCATCATTTAAATAAGTAAATTGTTTGACTGGGACTAGAACAATTACACATAAGAACATGCAATCAATGTACTGATAACTATCAGATTTTAACAACTGCCATCTTGCTCTGAAACAAACCTTAATTCTAAGCAAGCAATGGATATTTCAATTTTTAACTCTCCTGCCTAACATGTACTTGACTATTAACTAGATAAAATTATTGGGAGAGCTATCAATAAGAGAAATGCAAAAGGAAGAACATAAGAAATAAAAAACAAAAACGAAACTGCTGTAATGTATTCTTAAAGTGAGAAAAACTTTGTAATTTGAATACATAGGTGCACATCCATTGTAACTTGAATTCAGATTTTAGATACATGGTAATAGCTCTAAGTCACAAAAGTTCTATAAAAACTGGAAAGGCACGACTAGACATTAAGCCTAAAACCTCCTCATTCCTTGCCATGCACTTGCACACCATTCAGTGGAGTGGAATATGCAAATACGTACGTTATATTCCTGATCACTCCTGACAATAAAGATCCAAAAGGACATGCCATTGCACAAAGCACAGAGGGAAAAGCAGTTTGGTGACCCACCAGCAAAAGCTTTCTGCTGGCTTCTGACCAATGAATTGATGTTCAGGAGAACTTTAGCCCAGAATATGCAAGGAAAACAGCAGCTCTTACATAAACTTGGTAATTGTTATAGTATTTAAAAAGCCCAGTGATAGCCATATTTATTTTAAGATATGAATTTGAAGTTACAGAAGATGATGTACTATCCCCACAAATACTACTTATTAGCCTTGTATGAACTAATTTGATTTTAATCTCTTTCTCATTCTAGAAAGCAGATGCACATAGCCTCATGTTTTCACTGGAAATTATTTCCCTCGATATAGTACAACATGAACGATCTATACTGAAAGCTCTACCAGGCTGAATCATATCACCATAAACCCAATCTCTCTCGTTCTTCAGCAAATTGGAGGGCCTCAATAAAAATGTGTTAAATGAACAAATGGAGGCTCAAAAATAACTATCATATTTCCTTCAACAGTCTTTTTATCTTCACTGGCTGTCTTCTATATAAGTCTTTCATGGTTTTTAGAGTCAGTAAAATCAATGTAAGAAGACATAACTTAAAAATCTCCAACTGTAAGAAATTCTAAAAATTTTATGCAAATGATTAGATATCTATTTCAGTGCTTTGTTACAACATCTGTTACGTATACCTAAAAAACTGGCCCACATATTCTGAAAGAAGTAATCTAGTCCACGTTATTGTACATTTTTCATCACGAAATAAAGACTTTTACAAAGTTATCTAAGTAATGTGAAATCATTCAAAGAACAAAAAGTTTGGTCTTTAATGATTTTATAGTATATGAAACAGCAAGTATTTAAATATTTTTAAAAATATTTAAAGTTAATACTACTGTTAAGTCTTTGGGAAGCAAACAATTCTGAAGTGTTAACCATTAGTTAAACCTGTGGCTAACATAATTACCAAGTTAATATTTACATTAGCGATAGTTCAGATTCTTAGTAATCATATATTAAATATCTATAGCCAAAATTATAAAAAATAAATCTTAGAGACATACATGACTAGAACTTTATTCATGTGAAAAATGTTTTGTTTAAAGAGTTTGCTTTTTCCATTGGAAAAGTCTTCTCCATTACCTGGTGTGCAGCTCTTGAAGATTTTGAAAATTGTTTCTCCAAGATGTTTTTCCAATCTACTGGTAAAGTTAACTGTGAATTAGAACTAAAAGAAAAAAAGCACTTTTTAAATCATTTTAAAATGAAACAGTCCTACTTATATAAAGAAAAAATGCAATTACTGAAAGCCATTTAAAATACTGAGTAAACAGTCACACGAATTCCTCAACAGAAAATAAATTTATCTTTAACAAAACAGGTTAAAATTAGTACTATGCATTAAAAAAAGATCATGTATTAGGATCTGGTTTCTTTAGGGGGCAGGAGAGGCAGGAAGACTGACTCAGAATTTTTCTACTACATAACAGAATAACATAATATAGTATGCCCTTGCTTTGTATTTAATTTTAGTAGCAGCATCCAGAAAATGGTCATTTTTGGAAAAAATTGGGGCTTTACTCCAATTTTTTTCTTAGTGTTTTGATAGTGAAATCATTTTCCTTGCACCACCTATCATGGATTCGACCTTAAGAAATGAAGAACAGGCCGGGCACGGTGGCTCACACCTGTAATCCTAGCACTCTGGGAGGCCAAGGCGGGCGGATGGATTGAGCTCAGGAGTTTGAGACCAGCCTGAGCAAGAGCGAGACCCCATCTCTACTAAAAATAGAAAGAAATTGGCTAGACAACTAAAAATACATAGAAAAAATTAGCTGGGTATGGTGGCACATGCCTGTCGTCCCAGCTACTCAGGAGGCTGAGGCAGGAGGATTGCTTGAGCCCAGGAGTTTGAGGTTGTTGTGAGCTAGGCTGATGCCATGGCACTCTAGCCTGGGCAACAGAGTGAGACTCTGTCTCAAAAAAAAAAAAAAAAAAAAAAAAGAAAGAAAGAAAGAAATGAAGAATAGAAAACTGACAACCAGTATAACCATGGCAGACGTGGCTTTGCTGTTTCTCCAACGTCACTTTGATTCACTTCATGAACTGCTGTATTGTAAGAGTCACGATTTCACCTTGCAATCAATTTATATCTTTGTAGGCAATGGTGGAATAAAGACAGGTGGCAAGAGTTCCTACTGTTAATTTTGGTGGAGGTGCTTGGTGGAACTGATTTTGTGAGTGGTCAGAATTCATTGGCCGGGTATGGTGGCTCACACCTGTAATCCTAGCACTCTGGGAGGCTGAGGCAGGAGGATTACTTGAGGTCAGGAGTTTGAGACCAGCCTGAGCAAAAATACTGTCTCTACTAAAAATAGAAAAATTAGCCAGGTGTGGTGTTGTGTGCCTGTGGTGTCAGCTACTTGGGAGGCAAGAGGATCGGTTGAGCCCAAGAGTTTGAGGTTGCAGTGAGCTATGATGATGCCATTGTGCTCTAGATGGGGTGACAGAGTGAGACTCTGTCTCAAAAAAAACAAAACAATTATTTTCCTCTAATGACAATTACTCAAAAGGGCATCTGAATATACATATACCCATGCCTGTACATGCAGTATAAGTTTCCTGATAGCCAAGAAACAGGTACCAGTCTGTTCTGAGGGCAGTCCTACAGCAGGGACTGTGGGAGGTAAAATGAGGAGAGCAGGGAAGGAGACCTAATCTTTATCTTACACCTTCTGAATGTGTTTTCATTTTAGGAGCAAATATTTTGGAATTGAAAAAAATTAACACTGATTGTTTTATATGACTTTCAGAAGTTGGTATTAACATCCAGGATTAATAATACTTTTGGAAAAAATTATCCTCTTCTAAAGACAAGTCTTTGATATTTGAAAGGGATTTTGGTACTCACCATAATACACATATGAAAAAGCAGCTAATGCTCGAAAAACCTTGCAAAGTTCTTTTCCTTTTTCTTGGGAAGAGTACACTAGGAAAAATAATCACACCTTAGAGGAAAAACATACCTGAACTTCTCCGATTCATTGTTTCGGGATTTTTGTTTTCCTTTGTGTTTGGGAGGCTGACCTGTGAATACAAAAGTATTTGTTCCTGAAATCTGTACATACAGCTCTATAAATTCCAGAGTAGAGCAATAAAAAAACATGTAAACTGATATTGTGGGTGCGTGTACCTACAAACAGGTAAGCCAAAACAGAAGCTACTGATATTGTTTTTCTATGTATGGTATAATATTATAAATTATAATAATGATAATTATTATTATTTAAGTCTATAATAGATATACAGAAATATAGGCAATAGCTCCTGTTCTCAGGTAGTTTACAATCAGGTGGGACGAAAAGATACATCACTTCAGTAATTGAACAACAATCATCCTTGAGAAGGAAAGAAGATACTGTATTGTTGCTGACATATTAATTCCACAGTCAGTAATTTCTCTCAGGACTCACAGAGGGAGAAATCACTCAAGCTGGAGTAGTTGGGAAAAACATTTGTGAGGATGCAGCATTTGCGTTTGGTTCTGAGGAACAAGCAGGATTTGGATACGCAATGACCCAAACCCAAAAGTGGAGTTCATTTTAGAAACACTACGTAAACCTTTGTGATCTGAAGAGCTCAATAAGGGTGGGAGGCTGAAAAGGGGTTGCTTAGCCAAGCAACGGTGAGTGTTTACAGACTCTGAGCTTCAGATCCTCCCACTCTGAAGCCCAGTCTTTATTCCACTGGCAGAAGTAGGAAGCCACGGCATGTTTCTGGGCAGGGGTGTGACATGCTCAAAGCTGTGTAGAAGAGATAGTACAGCAGGAGGGACAGGGTGTATTTGATGGAAGATTTGGGGAAAGAGCAGAGACAAGTCAGAGCCAGTATAATAAGGAGGAAACGAGAGCCTGAGCTGGTTTTGGTAGCCTCAGAGAAAACAATGGAAGCTTCTGGAAAACAGAAGAGTTCCAGTTTGATTTCTGCTACGTGACCTTGGGTAAAACTACTTAACCCTAACCCTGAGACCTCAATTTTTTCACCTGAGTGTAGATGCTGAAGGGTGGACAGTATTTAAATTATTTATTTAAATGTGCTCTCTGATACTAATGGCCTAAGATAATGTCGATAAATTAAAAGCTGTCTTCCAAAAAAAGTTTGATCCTCAAAGATGTTTCACATGCTGTTAGAATTACATCAGGTAAGACAACTGCCAGAGTTTCTCCAGTCTATAATTATACTAAAGTGCTAACCAAATAGAAATGCTCAGTGCTAAGTAGGTGGGTATACAGAAATGGAGCTTAAGAGAAGATGGAACTGCAGGTAGCAAAAGACAGAAACGGTTGCTAGAAGCAAAGCCACTGAAAACCAACAAACCAACGAACAAAAGAAAGGAGAAGAGAGTAACAGGATTACTAACTAGAAGATCAACAATCTCACCTCAAAAACCCTGGAAAGAACTCTACATGAAAGCCTGAGATAAGTAACTGTTGCATACAATAACAATCTTGACTAAACAGGAAACTCGGTATTTGGGCCGGGTGCAGTGGCTCATGCCTGTAATCCTAGCACTCTGGGAGGCAGAGGTGGGAGGATCGCTTGAGCTCAGGAGCTCAAGGCTAGCCTGAGCAAGATCCCATCTCTACTAAAAATAGAAAAGTTAGCAGGTGTCATGGTGTGCGCCTATAGTCCCAGCTACTCGGGAGACTGAGGCAGGAGGATTACTTGAGCCCAGGAGTCTGAAGTTGCTATGGGCTAGGCTGATGCCACAGCACTCTACTCAGCGCAACAGAGTGAGACTCTGTCTCAGAAAAAAAAAAAAAAAAAAGAAAATCTCTACTTTCTTAAACTCTGTTTTACAAAGCAAGAAAGCATGTAATTGAATTTAGAAAGATTGTCATCAAAATCTGATAGAATAAAGATTCAGAAATAACTAAAGCATGAATAATTCACTTCTCTATAACCCTTCATCTCCCAATGATTCCAAGTAACGAGGTCCTGCTGTGTGTCTATGTGTTTATTAGATGCATAAACATACACGAGCACACAAAACTTAAAATAAATCAGAATTAGCCTAAAGCATTGTTACGGTCTGAATTTCTGCATCTCCCCACCTCCCCCAAGATTCCTATGTTGAAAACCAGATTTCCAAGGTAAGGGTAGGAGGTAGAGCCTTTGGGAGGTGATTAGGTCATGAGGCAGTGCCCTCATGAATGGGATTAGTGCCCTTGTAAGAGAGCCCAGAGAACTCTCTTGACCCTTCTACTATGTGAGGACACAGCAAAAAGATGGCCATCTATGAACTAGTAAGAGGGCCCTCACCAGATACCTAATCTGCTGGCACCATATTGGATTTCTCAGCCTCCAGAAATGTAAGTAAATATTTGCTGTTTATAAGCTACCCAGTTTGTGGTATTTTTGTTATAGCAGCTCAAACAGACTAAGACAAGCATCCATTCTAAACGGGCACAATATAACCCATTAGGGTAAAAATTAGTTATTGAGAGATAGAAAAATCTAACTCTTTCTACATATAAAGCACAGATGAACACATAGTACATAAACAGTACCGGCGGTATTAAACTTTCATAAAGCAGACTGATTAGGAAAAAAAGGTCCAAAAAGTTCCCTCAGAAGTTGGGAGGAAGGGAAGCAAATAATGAAAATTTTCAATGATATGAAACAAAGGCCTACAGAAAACTAAGGAGCAGACCAAAAAGAGCTACGTACTTCACCTTTTCCATTCCTTTCATATGGATTTCCAAAATTAAATTTATCAAATATTATTAAAAAAACTGAACATTGACTTCAAATAAATATTCAATGTTTTCTTAATATAGAAGCATTATAAAATAAAAGGACAAGAACAGCAAATATAAATGAGGCTTCTGCAAATTTTAGAACATAAAATTTTAGGCAACACTACATTAACTTGGTAATAACTTATACAGGAAAAGAAAATACTCACTTGACGGTGGTGGAAATTCAGGATGACAGTCACAATCATCTACCTTCAAAGCCTCATCTACCACCTACCCATGAAAATAAAATTAGTGAGACTTTCACACACACACACACACAAATACAGCCATGAAGAATTCAATAGCTATATAACAGAATTCAGAATAGAACAGAATTCACCCAAGCACTTAAAATATGCAGCTAGTTATTAAGCCTAAATGTATAAACAAGCAAACAAAATGACAACTAATGATAAGAGATTGTGATATGATTATGACAAATTCTTGAACAACAATTCTATTTCTGATGCCTGGTATTATGCCTGACATGGCAGTTGTTCAATAATGTCTGTATTGAATTAACACTATCACATCTTTCCCTATGCCCCCCTCCCTAACTGAATACAGCCTCTTGGAGATTTTTTTTTTTGTAGGGAGAATAATGAAAAGATTATTCTACAGTACATTAAAAGCACTGTAAAGCTACTATAAATTTAGACATCACCAAATTTTTATACAAGTATCTGTAAATTGTTCAGTGAAAACAAAAAGGCAGACACAGGCCAGATAAACTCTGTCAAGTCAGGACTCAAGCACCAACAGGAGTAAACAACCTTGACGGAGTAGGGAAAACAAACTAAGGAAAAAAACATGCAGGTGCAATATCAACCACAGACACAGACAGGTGCTGCAGGCCTCAAAAGTGTCCAGACCAATCAGACTTCTACATCACCAGGACACCCTCATCGTCTCTTTCCACCCCACAAACATAGACTCCTGATAGTGTGGGCAGCTCCAGGACCACACATAAACAAATCTGCAAATACCACAATTACAGAGGGCACAGGAGACTCACCCCAATCCTGGATGGAATGTTGGGCAGATAAAAACAGGCACTTCAAATAATAACTTAGTATGTGATGGAGATGGTATTTCAAATCAGTAGGTGTTATAGACTGTTTGTGTCTTTCTAAAATTCACATGTGAAAACCCTGACCCCCAAGGGACTGTATTTAGAGACAGGGACTTTAAAGAGGCATTTAAGGTCAAATGAGGTCATGGCACCAGGCCCTAATCCTACAGGACTGTTGTCCTTACGAGAGAGACACCAGATCCTATCACATCATCATTCACACTGGTTCTCCAGAGATCTTCCCGGCCATTATCAGGCCCCACACCTGAGGGCTGAAATATGCATTCATGGGACATGGCCACAAAGATCAATGCCCTATTGCAGAAAAACCATCATTTCCATGTCTCTCTTTTCCTTTAAGGGATCTTTCACAGACATGCCACAGAATCCTCCTAGTATGTCACTGGGCATAACTAGGGCACATGCTCAGCCCCACAGGATCACTAGAAAAAAGATTAGTCTTAGCTAATCATAAAGCTCAACCAGATAAATCTATAAATCTGTGTAGAAGTGGGCAAGAAAACCAAATCAGGACTTTGTCAAAATATTGAAAGTGGCTCTCATGTAGCCAAATACCAGTCTCTTACCGGCTACTACCAAGTTATTACAGAGTCATTTTGTAAATTATGACAATAGCCACCACCACCATCATAGCTACTGGTTGTATACTGTCTACTAAGGTGCCAAGTAATATTCAATGCATTTACATTCATAGAGTTTCTCACCTATATGAGTTCTGTCAGATATATGGAGGACAGCCTTATGGAAAAAAGCTTTTCCACATTCATTACACTTACGGGGTTTCTCCCACCTGAGTAACCTGATGCACGCTTGGGGTTAACTTCTGGCAAAATGTTTTTTCTCATTCGTTACATTCATAGGGTCTTTCCCCAGTGCGAGTCCTCTGATGTGTAATCAGGACTGTCTTCTAGTAGAAGGTTTTCCCACATTGCTTACATGCACGGGGTTTCTCCCGTATGCATACACTGATGCAACCTGAGGTGTGCCTTCTGGTGAAAATCTTTTCAACATCCATCACATACATAGGGTTTTTCCCCTGTGTGAGTTCTCTGATGTGCAGTGAGGGTTGACTTGGTAGAAAGATTTCCTACATTCTTTACATTCATAGGGTTTCTCACCTGCGTGAGTTCTCTGATGTACAGTGAGGGCTGATTTCTGGTAGAAAGATTTTATACATTCTTTACATTCATATGACTCCTCACCTATGCGAATTCTTTGATGTACATGAGGGCTGACTTATGGACGAGTGTTAACCCACATTCACTGCATTCACAGGGCCTTTCCCCTGTGTGAGTACCATGATGCACCCTGAGTGCTGAGCTCTGGCAAAAGGTTTTTCCACATTCATTACATTCATAGGGCTTTTCCCCTGTGTGGATTCTCTGATGAGCTTTCAGGGCTGACCTCTCACAGAAGCATTTCTCACATATGCCACATGCATACGGCTTCTCCCCTGTATGTATTCTCTGATGTTTTATAACACACGATTTTTTAAATGAAGGTTTTCCCACATTGACTACATGTATAGGGTTTCTTTCCTGTGTATCTTCCAATGTTCAGTGAGTGTACGCTTTTTAGAGAATGTTTTCCCACATACATTACATTCAAAAGTTCTCTCCCCTACCTGAGTTATCTCTTGGGCAATGAAAACTGATTTGTCACAGGCTTTCTGACATTCATTATATTTACAGAAGGTTCCTCCCATGTGAAGCCTCTTCTGTGTCAATAATACTGCCTCCTGGTTAAAAGCTTTTTGTTGTCCACTGTATTTAAAATGCTGTTGCCCAGTTAGGATCTTGTGATCCTCATTAAGATGCTCATGACTGCTGAGGGATGTTCCAGTTATATCATGGGCATCAGGTCTCATTCCAGCATGCATCTCAGCAGGATCACCAGCGACAAATCCATACCGACATATATTAACTCCTCAGGCCTCATTCCTGAATAATTTCCATTATTTACAATCAGTTTTGATATATGGTTTGAGCTTAAATTGCATGTTTTTCCTGATTCCACCCTCCCCTTAAATGATGTGTTGCCACTGGTGATTTCACCTTGCCACAAAGTTCTACTGTGACTTTCTTGGCTCTTCTCAATTAGGTCATCAGCTATCTAGACATCTGGGTGATTCAGTCTGGGGAGTTCTTTTATGACCCAAGGCTCTGCTCCTTGTTCCAGCTTGAAGATCACCTCAGGTTTGGGAATACGGTGCCTCACAGATACCAGGCTGGTGTAGGTCTCCAGCATCACATCCCTGAATAGGGTCCTCTCAGCATCATCCAGGTCCTGCCACTCCTCCCAGGTGAAGTCTGTTGCTATGTCTTCAAATGACAGCAATCCCTTCAGGAAGCAGAACCCAACCCCTGACCAGGGAAGCAGCAGTGGGAGAGCACACGAGTCTGGAGATTTTCAATGTTATCAAAAAAAGGACTACACATTGGGTTGGAAAAGTTCCCTTCAATGCCTATCACCCGCCAATGCCAAAATACCATTTCCTTTTTCTTTCCTCAAACCCTGAAAATACAAATGAGGACTTGGTGAAAGCTGCTGAGCTTTGCATAAACCACAGCTCAGGGAAAAAAAAACCTCAGATACAGTTCATCTGGGACACCTGATCACAGAGCCAGGCTACAGCCTTAGCTGCACTCTGGAGAAAACATCAGACTGAGACTTCTGCTGAGCACAGCCATGAATCAAGGCCAGCACCACCGCTGCTAAGGGCATCAAAGGCTGCAGAAACACCTTAGGCAGCGGCGGGTAACAGGGTGCCTCCAAGGCCCCAGCACAGCACAAGTTGGGTAGGTGGGCTTGTGCACTGTCAGGTGGGCAAGTAGACTGCAAAAGGGAAAAGGGAGACAAAGAAAAACCCAAACTATTGTGAGGGGTGGGAGTGACTTGCCCACCAGACCCCACTGTCACTCATTCCCAGGTGACTGGTTGGGAGACATGTAAAGGGAGGACATACAAAGAGGACTAAGTGGCAAAATTATATAGAGAAAAAATATTTTGAAAACACATAAATGTGATTTCAAAAGAAAATGTGACTCTGAAATAGTCTACTTATGTATTTGTATGAGACAGCCAGATTATTTATTAAACAGAGAATCATTCTTTTGATATCAATAGGCAAAAAGGGGTCCATATTACCAAAATATTTGGCTTCCATTATGACCGAAATATTATTGTGAAAATATGAGCCTTTTTTTAGTTCCCAGATACCATTCAGAACAGACTATATCTATACTTGAAATAATTTTAGTTTTTAATGGAGCTTACCTTTAGATTCTGATTACCCCCGTTTGCCATCGCGTGGTTAGTTTTTCTGAAATCTCTTTCCTTCTCCACAAAGTTAAGTGAAGTACTAAACCTAGGTCCTGACAGACTCCTAGGTGTGGAGGCCCTAAGGAAGGGGATAAAAGAAATGATGATTTTATTCCTATTAATCATTAAGGATTTTTAAACAGTTATCCTTCAAACAGGTTGCAACAATCATAATCCTTTCCTTGAAAGCAAGGAATAATTATTTTAAAAAGATTTTCTACCTCTAAGATAGGGGGCTTTATGCATAAACATTATTTTAAATTTGGTATTAAACTCAAAATAAATTAAGAACAGTTCAAAAAAAGTATTCTGGGTTCTAATATTAAAATAACTAAGTCTTCTTGTTTTAAATTTAAATACCCTAATTTAGGTTAAATTCAGGTATTTAAATCACATTTAGATTAAAGCCTGCACAGCCAATTTCTGTACTCTATATATAGATACATATATCTGTATGTTCAGCACTCTACAGAATTAGTAGCTTCAATATCCTTGGCAACTAAACAAAAGTGAAAAAAATCTTAATCTATTTTAATTGCCAAATAAACAAAGGTAGAATCCTGGCTACTTCTGGTTTTTTTGAGACAGAGTCTCATTCTCTCACCCTGGGTAAAGTGCAGTGGCATCATCATAGCTCACTGCAACCTCAAACTCCTAGGCTCAAGCGATCCTCTTGCCTCAGCCTCCCAAGTAGCTGGGACTACAGGTGCACACCACGATGACCAGCTAATTTTTGTATTTTTCATAGAGATGGGGTCTCGCTCTTGCTCAGGATGGTCTCGAACTCCTGACCTCAGGCAATCCTCCCACCTCGGCCTTCCAGAGTGTCAGAATTACAGGTGTGAGCCACCATGCCTAGCCTACTATTTGTTTTCTTGTGAGCATACTCAAGTCTATCTGTTGCCCATTTTTAACCGGAAGTATCCTAGCCTTTGAAAAACATCAGGAGGCTGGAGGCAGATGTTTCCAGGACAGAGGTGAAGGGCACAAGGCACAGGCTATGTCCCAGCTCTCTGCTGCCAGGACCCTGGTGGCCGAACTGGTCCCATTCTAGCACAGTAATGTTCAATTAACACATCACCCCTCTTTTCCCATAGACTTTGGCTACTTATCTCCAATATGTACATATCCAAATGGTTCAGTAGAACAGTCAGCAACATAAATCTGACAACTTACAGGTAATCTGATCTTAAACATGAACCACTTCTCTTCCTTCCATCCCCAACTTTACTGTGGTTGTTATTAGCTTAAAGCATCAAATACAAGTGATTCTTAAATTCATGGGGCAAAGCTATTCCAAGAAGCAGCTACTGACCTGCTATTAACTCACCTACTTTCATAAAAGGCTTTAATTGGATTCTTATATGGTGTTCGACCTATAAAAGTCAATCACACACACAGAGTGATCAATAGTTGCCAACAAAGACTTCAAAAGATTTTCAAATTTCCTTTAAGCTGATTTTAAGAACATCAAATTTAGAAAACTGAAAAGTAAACCTAAGCAATTTTATATTTCTAGATGTCTTTAGTTGAGGATGGTGTCAACAAGAAGTTACATAAACCTTGTCTGACATTCCATTACATGTGATCACTGACAAGATGACAGCAATATATAAATTTGAATCAGAGATGGTACCTGTCTTCAAGGAGCTCACAATCTTATAATCATGTTATGCTGGATGACAACATCCACCAGGGAAATAGAATTGTTCAGCTCAGCTCCATAAGACACTAATACCCAAAGAAGAAAAAACAGGAAAGATCTATGCGCTAAAAATGTAAAGTAAGGGAATTTCAAGCATTGGAAAAAACAAAATGACTTAAAAGAGAAAACAAGGGCAGAATGAAAATCTACAACTCCTAGCCTGCCCAGCCAATTTCTGCTATATATATAAAATATATGTATACATGTTCAGCACACTGTAAAATTAGCCACAAACTTGGTGCAAAACATTAAGCAACTCTACTGAAGGGCCTTTTCTTTAGGAAATAACTTCAATAATGAAGGAAAAATTTTAAAACAATTTTGTTTTAAAAAGCTTTTATTTTATTCAAAATTTCTGGACAGGGTATTTTTCTACATAAGAATAAATAATAACAATTTGATTGCTGTCTGTTTCAAATAAAAACTACAAATCATTTAAAATTACCTAATGGAATATAACATTAATGTAACTCTGCACAGATAGAAAAGGAAAACTTAACTGATGTGACCAACAAAATAAGGACAAATTATCTGAGAATTGATTTACGATCCTCCATTAATCCAAGAAACCCACCTTCCAAAGTTTTAAAGGGAATTTGACTATAACCAAAGAATCTTAGGTGAAATACCTTGTAAGTCTTCTATTTGTTTTTGTAACTTTACATGCTGCTGAATTAGATCCTTGATTCCCTCAGGGTCATTTTTACAGAGTTTTTGAGCTTTTATGTTTGCTTGCAGGGCCCAGTCATATTCCCCCAGCATAGAAAGAGCATCACAATAACGATAATGACCCTGTTCCAAAAAGATAAATTTATTTTTTTCTCAAAAATATGTTTAAGTTAAAGAAAATAGATAAGGAAAAATGTTTTGCTTGAGAACTGATTCATTGCTTAAAATATTAGATTAGACTGCTAGTAATGAAAAATAAAAATGTTAATACCTCAGGAAATAAAATGACCTAATGAGCTAAGTGAAACGTTATAAATAAGTAAATAATTTTCAATAATTAAGGATCAACATTTTTGCTTAAAAGATTTTATACCCCAGGAAAGAATCCAACTTTTGTTATGTTTTACTAATAAAGAATGAAATATAGTATTTTGTACCAGATAAAGTATAAAAGTCATTCATTGTAAGTAATTTTTCCAAAATACTTTAAGGCAATAATAGTCTCTAGGTCATTACATTCCCTACATTTTGGAAAAAGTAAAAGGTTTTGAGAGCTGGAAGGAACAATCAGCTTGTATGGTAGCTTTCCAACATCTCTGGGGAGCACAGGCACAGACGAAGGATGCACTCAGGCTAGATCTTCCATCCATCTCTCTCCCCTTCAATCAGCTTTTAATTATTTTATCTCCAAGTGCACTTTCTGGCTCTAAGAAAAAGTCCAAAAACTACTGATTTACGTTCAATTCCAATGATAAGTGTTTTTTGTTTTTTTGTTTTTTTGAGACAGAGTCTCACTGTGTTGCCCAGGCTAGAGTGCCGTGGAGTCATCCGAGCTCACAGCAACCTCAAATTCCTGGGCTCAAGCAATCCTTCTGCCTCAGCCTCCAGAGTAGCTGGGACTACAGGCATGCACCACCATGCCCGGCTAATTTTCTCTATATATTTGTAGTTGTCCGATTAATTTCTTTCTATTTTTTTTTAGTACAGACAGGGTCTCGCTCTTACTCAGGCTGGTTTCGAACTCCTGAGCTCAAACAATCCGCCCGCCTTGGGCTCCCAGAGTGCCAGGATTACAGGTGTGAGCCACCGGGCCCGGCCAATTCCAATGATAAGTGTTTTTTGTTTGTTTTTTGCTACAGAACCAAAATCGCTGCTAGCTTCATTTACACATTTTAAAAGTCTTCTACATTAAACATCAACTTTTTAATCTAGAAAGCTAATAGTACCAAAACCTGGGATTAAGTCAACCATCCCCCCTTCTAGCTACTCACAAACCAAACTCCCATTTTAAGCACAGTACCACTGGAGAGGTGATTTATGAGAGAAAGAGGCTAGAAACTGGCCTAATGTCACACTTATTTAGAGGCAAACCAAAGAAACTGATTTTATGACACCTAGTCCAGAACTCCTTCCTCTTTACTATACATTTTATAAAGAACATTCTGATTCAATAAGAATCTAGGAGAAAACATAAAATCAAATATAAGTGACTCTTTTAAGAAAGATCAGCTTTTCACTAAAAGAAGCCAGAAACAATCACCTGGGCATGTGTTTACGCATGTTCAATGCATAAACAAATCTGCTCTAGCGCACCATTTGAAGGGGCCTAATATGCCCTTCAAAATTAAAGGTCCATGTGGACCTATGAGTTCTGGAGCCTTTTTAGACAGACTATGAAGACTTCAATCAAAGCTCCCAATTCAGATTGCATTTTGTTAAATTCCACTTTCCTTTAAAGGGTTAAAGGCTCTGTTTCCTGACACTTGAGGTATAAGATAAAGGGAACTCTCAGATAGGCTACAAGGTCAAATCCTATCCCCTAGGCATTTGTCAACTTCAAAGTTTAGGAAACTGCAAAAATAAAAAAACACAGCTAGCATAGGAAATGACAGATCAAAAACCAAACCTGCTAAATTTGTAGAGAACACTTTATTTCTTTCTCTCTTCCCCCTCACTTTTATTAGATTCTTTTCCCTAAATCCTATGGAACCCAGTATAAGTTCTGTTGGTTGAAAAATGAGTTGTTTTTTCACACCTAATGGGTGTGGGGGGCGGGGGGCAGAGGAAAAGGAGTTGTTTCAATGAAGCTTAAATTAAAGGTATCTCAGAGAGTTTCTTAAACCCAGTTATGAAGGTTTGCTCTTCTTTGATACCATCTCAATCTCTATCACATATATGGACATTCCTTACTGCTCACCTGCCTGGCATCCTCTTGTCCTGGGAACCATCATGTCCCTACTCCTCACAGTAATGGCAGGACTGTCTATTCTAGTGCTCCCTTCCCAATAATGGATGGGAGGGAAGGAGAGTGGCTATGGGACCCAGGAGACTGGCCAATCGAAATGCACCATTTCCCAGGTCAGAGCAATGGATCCGCAGGTGGTCACATGATTCAATCAGAATCAGTCTGAGGAATCCCTTAGGTTCACGTATGGATAATAAGAGAGGTTCTCTTTTTGCTGGAATTAATGGCTATTGAGGCTATCAGTTTGGGGCTCCCATTACATGGTAAAAGTCTTTTTTAAAATGAAGCCAAGAAAGCCTATGCTCTAACTTCCACTTCTGACCAAGATGGAGTTAATAGGGACTGAATTTACCCTCCTACCTAAAACAAACAAACAAACAAACAAAAAACAAAAGAGATGAAACTACAGCTTGCAAGCTATTGGATAGGAAACAAAATATGATCCCTAAGAGATGAGAAACATATAAAATAAGCCCTAAGACTACTCCAGCTTACTGAGTTTCTAAGCTACATACAGCTCAGGAGGAAAGAACCTAGGCAAAGACAGGCAATCTCTCTCAGTTAAGGAGATAGAGCTGGGAGTTCAGGGGACCACGGCAGCTTGAGTTCACAGGGCAGAGGACCAGAAAGGAGAGAGTTGCAGGGACAGAGAATTCCAGAGAACTACAGTGGGTCTCCCTTGAGTTTTCAGCGGAGTGCTCATCAGCCCAGGCATGTGGGGCAACTACCCATGACCAAAGAAAGAACCACCTGAAAGACTAACAGGGAACAACAGTCAGAACTCACACAGAACCAGGAATAATTCCTGTTCCCACCAACCAGAGTGGAAAACATCACAATTCACGGGGCATCAAGCAGAGTATTCAGAAAAGTTTTGCCTCAGTAGTGGGGAAAAAATTAGCCCTAGACTAAATGCCACTATGATCCCACCTATCAAGCTGAAAACAAGACCCCAAAGAATTAGATTGTTTCCAAGTAACTGTACTGTACCCAAAACAAAGCTCAAAAATATTTGCAGAAAAATATACAACACCAAAAAAGGTAAAATTCACAATGTGTGGCATCCAGTCAAAAATTACCAAAGAAGGAAAATATAGCCTATAATGAAGAGAAAAATTAATTGAAAACAACCCATAAATGACACAAACGATAGAACTAGTACACAGGGACATTGAAACAGTTATTATAACCATAACCCATATGTTCAAGAAGCCAAAGGAAAGATTGAACATATTAAATAAAGACATGAAATATATGAAAGATCCATATTTAACTTCTACAGATGAAAACTATAGCATTTAAGATGAAAAATATATTGGATGGAAATAAAGGCAGATTAGATACTGCAGAAGAAAAGATGAGTGAACTTGAGGACATAGCAACAGAACCCATGTAAAATGAAATGCACAGTGAGAAGTGAGGAAAAAAAGACTAAACATGAAGCTGACAAACAGGAAAGCAAAGCTGAGAAACAGAGAAAAATGTGTACAGATCTGGATCCAACCATGCCTGAAGCTAACCCCTAGACTTTTCAATTACATGAGCTAATAAATTCTCTTTTCTACCTACACTAAATCTGAGTTAAGTTTCTTTCATTCACAAACAAAAGAGTTTCCAATATACCCTTCAAAATTAAAAGGTTCTTGAGGATATTTGAGGCTATTGGTTTGTATCCTGTATAACATACATCAAAAGGCAATGCACACAGACATGTCCACAAATATCTGTTGACTCCACCATAAAAATTCTCATTCTTTAGGACAAATGACTCTCTCTCTAAAGCCTAAAAGTCTAGAGACAGATGACACTGTACCGGTCTTCTCTATTGGGAAAGAAGGGAAAAAATGGTCCACCTTGAAAAGAAATCTACAGAGTGCCTTCCTCTACAGGCTTATATCTTAGAGGCATGACTCCATGGACTCAGGCTCATAATTAATTCTAAAGTTGCACAATTCTTATAAAAGTAAAGAATACACCTTGCACAATTTGCTTCTGAAGTTTAAACTATCCTTGAATGAGCAGTCCTTTCTGGTAAAATAAAAGGAAAAATAACCTAGTTACATAGTTGCCACATTTTTTGAATACTTACTGGTGGTTGTGTGTTTTTATCTACACAAATATTTTGGTAATTATATGACACATCACAAAACATCCCAATAAAAAAAAAAAAGAGTAAATAATTTATTTTGTGTTTGAGAAAATAAGCCAGGAACATTCTCCATAAAGTCTTCAAAATAATTCAGAAAGTTTTAATACTCTTTTTTTAAATTGATAATGATTAAATAGCACAAGGTATCTCTGGAAAGCCAGTACTATGGTCTGGATTTCAGTATTTGGAATTCTATCCTTCATTCATTCTACAAACATGATAGAGGCCTTGCCAAATGCCAGGTTCAGTAATCAGCAAAGATTCTGTTTCAGGCAAAAGAATGACTCATTAAAAAAAAAAGCCAGCAACAAACTGATCACCCTCAAACAGAAGCACCATCCATTGTAGGATTCTAAATCCATTTTTGTCTTTTATTTGCCATGACACCTCACCAAAGTCATTTTATCTCTCTGGGACTCAATTTTGTCAAGTGTAAAATGAGGCATTTAAAAAATGATTCCAAAATTTGGATGCAGAAGTCTACCTGGGGAATTTTACAATCTCCATACTCCTAGATACACTCCTAGGCAACCTGAATGACAATTTGGGGGGGAATGGCAAAGAAATCTGTCGTTTTAAAAGATCCCCAGGCTGTCTTTTCCCTTTTACTCTACACCCTTCTGTATTCTGTTTTATCACATGTGATTTATAATATAAAGGAAAAGTTCATTTTTAAAAAACATTTAACAAAATAAAACTAACACCGACAATTAATCTAATGAAATCTATCCACAGAGCAGGAGTCAAAGTAACAGATGAGATTAAATTCTCTAAGGCCTTAAGATTCTATGATTCTACTCGCTGTGGTTTTAAAAACAAATTACATAAAACCAGGAATGAATTATGAAACACACATCTTTCTGTGTCTTATTTCAAACTCTATTTTTTAAAAATTTTGAAGATTTTTATGATTTAGGAAAATACAGAGACTAATAAAACAAACACCCAGAATTAACTGTTAACATTTTATTATATTTGTTTTGGATTCTTTTTTTGATAAAAGAAATAAAACTGTACAGATATAGTTAAAATCTCCTTTGTACCCTTCTCCAATCTCCTCTTCCTCTCTCACTGCCCGGAAGCAACCGGCATGATTTTGACAGGTATTCTTATCTATACCTATACCTATCAAAGGCCTATGTTATGCCTTTACTGATTTTTTTTCATTTAACACTGTTTTTTAAAATCTATAAATGTTGATAAGCCACTTAATTCATTTCAACTGCAATCTAGTACTTGATTCATTCATTCACTAAGTCAACAAGTATTTACTATTGAGTCCTGCTAAGTGTCAGGCAGTCTGGCTTCAAACGTGAACCAAACAGACTAAAAAACTTTTCCTTTATGAAGCTCACATTATACTGGGAAGACACAACAAGTAACTCAAATATTATATATTGTATTCTCAACAATAAGTGCTAAGAGGACAAAAAGTAAAACAGGGAAAGAAGATAAGAAATGTCTAGGTGTGACATTTTAGTAATGTGGCCAAGGAAGATTTCACTGAGAATGGGACTTGTAATAAAGAATGAAGGAAGCTGGTCAATGCTGTGGAGAAGAGCATTCTAGGGAAGAGCAAGCTCTAGAGGGAAGAGCAAGTACAAAGTGGAAGTGGGCCCAGCATGTTTGAGGAACAGTGAGGATGCCAAGGGGCCAACATAAAGTGAACCAAGGAGAGAGTAGTGGAGGTCAGAGAAATAACGGATGTTCAAGATCAGACAGATCTGAGCAACAACTTTGAGCAAGTGAAAATACCACACTGATCTGCTGCTTTATCAATGGACAGGTATTTGCAGTGCTGTGCCATTAAAACAATGCTGCAATGATCAACCTTTACATCTCACCATGTGCACATACACAAGAAATTTTCTAGGGTGCACATGCTTAAAATCAAGTAATCATGATGTATATCATAGTGCTCTCCAAGTTGGTTTTAAATGATTCACACTCCCACCGATTTATTGAAGGTTCCTGTTACCACACACACTCACCAACACTCAGGAATACTGGTCTCTTTAATTCTTCCCAATCTGAAGGACCCAAACAGTATCACATTGTGTTATTTACTAATGTATATATGCAGGTCTGTGTGGAGACCGTCTATTCTGCTCTATTAGCTTCATTTTTCTATATCTGTACCAATCCCCTAAAATTTTAATTACTAGAAAATAGACAGTTTCTTATTTCTATTGGCCACTCAGGATTACTCTTTTATGAAATGCTTATTTGTCTTATTGGTCCATTTTCTACTGGGTTTCTTATTTATTTCAGGAGTTCTTTGCATATTCTAGATATAAATCCTATCAGTTATATATGTGACAAATTATTCCCTCCCAAACTACTAATAAATTCATGGTGTCCTTTGAAATACAGAACTTTCTAAGTTTGATATAGTCAAATATATCAAGGTGACTGTTTTCATTGCTGATTTGTGTATTACACATTAAGAAATCCTTTCCTGCCTCCTGTTAAGTTTCCTTCCGAGTTCTTAAATTTCATTTTTCACATTCAGGCACATCTGCCCAGAATGTGGAAAGTCCAGAATGTGCGGAGGGTACCCCTCAGCCACTAGGGCACCCTCAAGACCTCCCAGTGCTGCCCGTGCTCCTCATGCACACGCAGCGCCTCCCTGTGGCTGCGTCCCTGTGCTGACCGTGGAACTGAACATTCCCCTTTCATATTGTTGAGCTCTGCATGATTTCATACAGCATTTTTACAAACAAACAAAACCTATAAACAGGTTTCTCCCAAAATTATATGGCATTATTTGCTCAATGTAAAATACAGAAGAAACCTACCTTTGACCACGTGCTCTTCAGAATGGTGGCTCGCTTTCCATCACCAAGGGCATTTCTAAAAAGAAAAACAAGAAATAAAATATTTAAAATTTTCATTCTTTTATTGTAAAAGTATTACATACTTTACGTACCATATATTTATTTATATTTTGTGAATTGTCTATGGATATAATCATCAAAAAATATTTTAATTTTAAAATCCATATAATGTACGTCCATTATAGGAAATTTGGAAAATACAGAAAAGTAAAACAAAGGGGAAAAGTCACCCAGAGTCACAATCACAACTACCCAGGAATAACTACGTTTAATACTTCTGGAGTATTAAATAGTTCACATAACTTATCAATATCTTATCTATGCATAACTTATTATTTGTATGGTTTTTTGCACTATTTCTGCACATCAGTAAGAATTCTGATCTCCAAAAATATAACTCCCAGGTCTTTCACACAACACACCAGCTAAGCTCTATGGAACAGAGCATGGAAGCTGGGACATGAGATCTGAGTTAGGTCTAACTCAATCACTAATTCTCTTAGGGCCTTTAGGAAGTTATAACCTCTCTGGGCCCACTTTCTCATCCATAAAGTGAAGATAGTAAGTCTATTCTACCTGTTTTAAGGCAGACACTAAATTAGATACATTAGAAAATGTACTTTTTACAATGTCAAGTACTAACAGATCCATACCCTAGTCTCTCAGTTTCCTGGCTCCTATATCTTCAGTGACCTCCTCCTCCACCCCAACTTAGCCACCTACCTACCACCACACCCCTGGGCAACTTAGCACCGTTCAAAACTGAACTCCAGAATCACTAATTCAGGTGTCCAACTCTTGCCCCATAATCCATCTTACTTGTTCAACTATTCTTACTATCTCCCCAGGGTGTCCAACTCACTGATTTATCCATTTTCTCTTTTTTTTACTTTCCTATTTATCTAGCTTAAGCTTTGCTGGTTCATTATTTCACATTCACATGCATACTAATTCACCACTCTTAAAAAGAAATTACAAGGAAGAACAAAAATAGGTAACTTATACTACCATATATCAACACCTACTAAAAGGTACAGATATGTAAGGGCAGACAACTTAACCAAAAGGATGTAATAGAGAAACCAGAAATGGACCCTTAGATATAATCACCTAATTTATGACAAAAGTGATACCACAGTGCACAGAGAAAATATACTCTTTTAATAAATGGTGCTGGATCATTTGGACATTCATATGAATCTTGAACCCTGTCTTACAGTAAAAACAGAAACCAAGTCCAGATGGACTGCAGAGCTAAACATCAGTTAAACAATCAAACTTGTAGAAGAAACAAAATTTTGGTAAACTTACAGTAGGCAAAGATTATAAACAGAACACATAAACCACTTATTATTAACATAAAAGGGAGAAAATGATAAACTGTACTATATTAAAATTAGTAACTGTTTGTAAAAAGAAAAATCAATAGTGAAAAGGAAAGCCACTGAGTCTGAGAAGATATTTGCAATACATACGTCTGACTAATGACTCATACTCAGAACACAAAACAAGAAAAAACTCCTACAAATGAAGAAGACATTCAACTCAAGGGAAAAACAGCAAAAGACTTACATAGGCACTTCACAAAAGGGAATATCCAATGGTCAATAACCATATGAAAAAATGCTCAACTGAAATATCCTTAATCGATTTCTAGAAATGCAAATTAAAACCACAGTGCCATACCACCAAAATGTCTAAAATGAAAGATGTAAAATAATAAGTGTTGGTGAGGGCATGGAACTAAAACTCCCAGAAACTCTCATCCACATCTGGTAAGAGTGTCAAGTGATACAACCAAAGTAATATTAAAATTGAATATAAGCACACCCTCTGTCCCAACAATTCCACTCCTTGATTACACATTCAACAGAAATGAATACACATGTTTACAACAACACTATCTGTAAAAGCCAAATACCAGAAACTACCCAAATGCCCCTCAACAACAGAATGGATAAAATGTGGTATATTCATGCAATAGATGAACACTTTACAACTACATGCAATAATATAGATCTCAAAAACAATGTTGAAAGCCAAGCATAAAAGAGCATATAGCATATCACTCCATTTGTATTGCACAGAAAAACGAGCAACATTAACCTATGGAAGTCAGGACAGTAGTTACCCTGGGGGAGGAGGCAGGTAGTGACTGGAATGAGAAACTTCCATGGCACTGGGGTTGGGATCTGTGTGCTGGTTACAGTTGTTGGATTTCAGAAAATTCAGCCTGTATACTTAGGATTTGTATACTTCTCAGCACATGTATTAAGATTAGAAAAAAAAGATTACAAGACGAAGATGTCCTTCTGCTGGAGATATCTAAGTTACGGTCCTGAGGGGGCATCCTGAGGACCAAGTTGCACACTGAGGCTGAAAAAATCTAGGTCTCTGACAACACTGTTAAGCCTCTAAATACACAGCCCAGAGCCACCTTCTTCTGGAACTCCTGAATGAAGTTAAGTTTTCCTCACCATTTAAGCCAGTCAAATCATTTCTGTTACCTGCAGCCAAAAACATCCTAATCCAATGGCACGGCTCTTAGGCTCCACACTCCATCTCTCTCCCTAACACCTTTAAAAGCTGCCGATGCTAGGCGTCTCCGTTTTCTCATGTTTTTCAATCCCATCTGACCAGCTTCTGCCCCAAGCTTCCTACTGACAGCTCTCTCCATGGTAAATAAACGATGTCCATATTCCTAAATCCAAATTCCATTACAAATAGCTTGTTAACAGCAACAGACACTGCTGGCCACGCCTTCACTTACTTCCACGACATCAAAAATCTTCATCCTACTTCTCTGGTCACCTCTAAGTCTCCTATGCAGGTTCAGCCTTCTCTAGCTGGCCATTAACTATCTGTTTCTCAAGGCTCAGTCCTGGTTCCCCTTCTAATCTCAGCCTATGCTCTCACTAGCCAGTGGGTCTCAACCTTGACAGCACATTGGTATTACCTGTGGAGCTTCTGAAAGCCCAATGCCCAAACTTTACCCTGTATTAATTAAGAATCTTTGGGGTGGGTGGTATTTCTTCAAAGTCCAAGTGATTGCAATATGCAGTCTGAGTTGAGAAACAATTCCCTAAGCAATCTCACCCACATCTACAACTTCAAATCATCCATGCTAACTATCCCAACCACGTCTCCCACCCAAACCTCTTCGAGTTTCAGACCCACATAACTTGGTATCTCCAAGACATTCCAATCTAAATGCTTCAAAGGCACTTCAATTCAGTATGTCCAAGAGTGAAGTCAAGTTCTACCTCCTATAAATTTATTCCTCTCCCAGTGATCCCAATGGTAGTGAGGGGGCTCATAATTCATGAAGCTGCTTAAGGCAGAAACCTCAGAACAATCCCAACCATTTTCTCTCTCGCATTCCATCCAATACCAACCATTGCAACTTCTGTCAACATTACCTCTAAAACATCTTCAATCCTTCCACTTTTCCATTTTCAATGCCATCTTGCTATAAGCCACCATCACCCCTACCCTAGAGTACTGCAACAGCCTCCTAAGCCACATCCATGCTGCATCCCCTTCAAATCTATTCTCACCACATCAGAACGATCTTTCATGAAGTCCTAATCGTGCTAATCTGTTTAAAGTCCCTTACTGTCTTCCCCCTGCTCTTAAAAGCCAACAGATTTAACACAGCCCTACAAGCCCTAGCACCTGACCACCTCTCCCTCTCCTTTGTAATCAGGCCATCTGGCACACTATTGGTTCCATAAATGCAGCACACTCCCTCCCACCACAGGCCTTCATGCTGCTGGCCCACTATCTGGAACACGGAGACTGTTTTTAATAATTTCTGACATCATCCACCATCAACAGAACCCTAATAATATTTATTGCATCAATGCTGAATGTTACTCCTATAGCACTGTAATAGTATTAATGTTTGTTATACTAGCTAGCATATATTATGTTTTAATATGAGTATGTACTGATGTTAATACTAGTAAATTTTCATATTTACTAACATATAGCCACACCTACTACTAAAGCAAAGCAGGTATAGTAAATTGCATGGTGCTAATGCTTATCTAAAACCTGCAGCCAGGATCTAAATACTCTAGTGAGGTTTGATGTCTGGCAGCAGATATACCCTGCACGATAGATTATGAAAATTGGAAAAGACTCAGGACATGCAAATGATTATTTACTCCTGAACACTGTGAGACATGGTGAGAGTACTGAACAGAGGGTAAGGAACAGAGTTCTTCCCAGGTACTCCACACCTTGTTACTATTACATGGGAAAGTGCATTTATTTCTCCAGGTCCCACAGTTACTTCATATACAATATGATACATTTTGCTCTAAAATATGGTGTTAGGAAAGAACAGTATTCCTCATTTCCATGTGAATTTGCTAGGTTAATTATTCCTCAACACTCTCCTCTTCCCACCCCTTGGTAACTTATCCCAGAGGATGAGTAATAATTTATCTAATGGTGGGGGAGGGGTACTGATCATAATAGCCTCTTTTTTCTCACTTTCTGGGAACTTAAACATCAATAGGACACCTAACTCCCTGTTTTTCCAGGCTTAAAGTTCACAATAGCCTCTGTTGCCCAGTTCTATGATTGTGAGCGAATTATTAATAGTAACGAGCCTCTAGGCTATCAGACTCAAGGCCTTGTTCTCCAGTAACCACATCAGTAATGAAGGCACTATTTGATCACCATTTGGCCATCTTCTGCATCCATCTATTAACTGATTTTGGACATAGAAGGGGAGGGAGATGCTATTTATTGACTCTCTCAAACCACAACAAATATGTAAGAACTATGCAAATCATAGAAGGGTTATTGCTTTTTTTTCCCCTCAATTATAAATCATTACTTTCAGGACCTGACCAGATCAAAAAAGATATAACAACTACCCCCCAACTTTCTAGATCTTACAAAAGCAGGATTCAGGTATAATGGTGAGTCACTGACAAATATGCAGTGACTAATAACCATCAACTGAATAAACACAGGCATTTTTAATCAAAACTGGATTTTGTC